CTGGCTCCCGGGACAGCTCAGCCACGGCCCAAGATGAGAGGACACCAGTGGCCCTAGACCAGTGCCCCCGCGGTCGCTCCGGGCCTTGTTAAATAAGCCTGCTGCCCAGGAGGAGGTTGGGGACAATGCCGGGGGCAGCTGAGTTGCGGGGGCCGAGTGGCGGCACACGGACGACCACGTGAGGCAAGCTGGTCCGGCTCCAGGGGCGAGGGCTTCCCAAGAGGGAAGTAGGGGTTCGGGGAGGGGGAAGCACCCCCAGCCCACAAAGCGGGTACTTTGAAAGGGCAGCCCTGGCCTCGTCCCCGGGCCCCACCCCTCACCCCACCCGGGGCCAGCATCCTCCAGCAGAGCCCGCTGTCGATGGCCCATTTCAGCCCCTTTTGCCATCTGTTAAATGAAGGTGGTGGTCGACCCCTCTCAAGATTTGTCATTTGAGAGTGTCCTGAGTCATCCTGAGCTGGGCGGCTTAAACCACAGACACTCACGGTCCCCGTCCTGGAGGTCCGTCCGAGACCCCGTGTCTGGGGCTGGCACCCCTGAGGCCTCTCTCCTGGGCGTGCAGACGGCCGACTTCTCCCCGTGTCCCTACATGGTCCCTCTGCGTGTGTCTGTCCTGATCTCCTGTCGTAAGCTCCCCAGTCATACTGGATCGGGACCCGCCCCAGCGAGAGCCTGGACCGTGCCCGGGGGGACGTGGGGGCCCGGGCCCAGCTCTGTGACCGGCCTGCTCAGAGCCCCGCCGTCCGGGGGCAGTGTTGGCGGAGGACGGTCCTGGGAGCTCGGGACCCCTCTCGGTCACACGGGGAAACCGCCTTCTTCCGCTTTTTGACCCGTATTGTTCTTTGTTACGCGTCCTTTTCAAATGAAACTGTTGAGAAGCCTCATCGGTCAAAGGCATCCCTCTGCCTTCACTTTCCCGGTGACTTCGGCTGAGCGACTTGGTTAAGAAGTCCTCCCTGGCCTGAGGCCACAGATACTACGCCTTTTTGTCCTGAACATTACAAAGCTTTGCTCTTCAGTCTGGCATCTCACTTCAGTTTGGGCTGTGACGTGGGGACGGAGTTTCCATTTCTCCACGAAGAGAACCGGGTCTGGGCTGCGTTTCCTGACTGTGGCCGACCTTCCCGTGGCAGTCACTGTCCGAGCCTGTGGTCTGTTCCATCTGCCTGTTTGCCTATCCCTGCGCCGAGTCCTGGGACTGGAAGGCTCTCGGCCCCCCTCGCCCCTCACCTTCGCAAGGGCCATTAGAGCTGCCGCCCGCAAAAACCTCAGCGGCGCGTGGACCGGGCACAGTGCCGCCCTGCGTCCATGCAGCTCTTTTCCAGGATCAGCCCTATTTTTCCAATCCGAGCCTCCCGCCGCTCTGAGTCCGGCAGCTCTCCTAGTGCGCCCCCCAGTGGTGGAGGCGGCTTTCTCGTCCGGGCGCGGTCTCCCAGAGTCTGCCTGCGCGGCTTTGCTGCTGGGCCCGGTGAGATTGAGTCCTCCCACACTTTCTCCTCGGCTTTCCCGGGGTCAGCGGCGCTGTCGGCTTTCTGTGTTTTCCCTCATCAACCTGTCACGGGCTGCCCGCTTGGCCCCAGTGGCAGCCGCGCCCGCTCTTGGCCCTCCCTGTCGGTGATCGATCACAGTGTCAGGAAGTCGGGACACTTCCATGGTCCTCCACGGCTGGCCTCGCTCTCCTCTGTGTTTGTTCCGCGGCCCGGCCGGAACCCCACACCTGGGAGACCCGCTCAAGTCCCAGCAGGAATCTGATGCCTTAGGAAATCTTAGACCAATGCCCCTTAACAAGTCCGGAATGATTCCTTCTAGTCTTACTTTGCTTTACTTATTTACTTTTTATTTTCTTTTTTTAATTTTTATTTATTTATCTTTAGAGGGGAAGGGAAGGAGAGAGGGAGAGAAACATCAATGTATGGTTGCCTTTCGTGCGCCCCCTGCAGGGAACTGGCCTGCAACCCAAGCATGTGTCCTGACTGGGAATCGAACTGCGATTGTCTGGTTCGCAAGCCCGAGCTCAATCCACTGAGCTATACTAGCCAGGTTATTTTTTAAAGACAACACAAGCTGTACTTTTACCAGGTGTTTTCTGTGCACCTGTTAAGCAGGGGTGTCAAACTCATTGTCACCGGGGGCCACATCAGCCTCACAGTTGCTTTCAAAGGGCCGAATGTAATTTGGGACTGTGCAAATGTAAATTGGAGTACTCCTTAAGTAGTACTACTCCTTAAGTAGTACTTCTTACTACTTAAGGAGTAGTAAGTTACTCCTTAACTAGGGGCAAGGGGCTCGCTGCCACCAGGAGGAAACCAGGTACCGGGCTGGATAAAACCAGGTGGAGGGCCACCTGGGAGTTCAGAGATTTTTGGCCTTAAACCAGCTGTGCGGCTCACAAGCACATGGGCTCCCCCTGCTGGCCACCTGCAGTATTGCACACCCGGCCCCTGCGGCCGCCCGCAGTTTACTGGGAGGGTTCCGACTGCCCACAGGTCCCTCCACGGGATCACTGGTGGCCTTTGAGGTGGCAGAGGCTCCACACCGAAGTCCTGGAGTAAGAGGACGTCATAGGACAGCCAAGAGGTAACGAACACTAAGCGTGCATGAGAGAGAAGCCTTTGTTGTCGTAAGCCACGGAGATCTGGGGACCCAGTGGAGCCACCCTGCCTGGTACGTTAGGTTAGATTCCCATCACTGAGCCGTCCTTGAAATTCCTGGTTCGATCGTTGGAATCCGGGGGGTGGGGGCCTCCCGCACGGCCCCACACCCCCACCTGAGGGCCAAGCCTGATTTTAAAAACGGTGGCTTCCAGGCTGGAGGCCATGGACCACGCGTGTGGGTGCGCGTGACACCCAGAGTGGGAGCGTGCCCCGCCCCGCCCTGGCCCGGCTGACGGCTCGGACCCACACGGTGCAGAACAGGTCGGCCCGGGCAGCAGAGGGGAGCAGGTGTCTTCTCCGAGCTGGCTGACCCTCTGCGCCAGGGCCTGCGCCCGGGGGTGGCGGGAGGCAGAAGGGGACCCACCCCACCTGCGGAGCGGAGAAATGCCTGCCCCCCGCGGCCTCACGTCTACCCCCGGAGGGGCTGTGCCTTCCTCAGGCGTCGGCACCTGTGTGCACAAGCGACAGGTGCCCGGTTTCCTCCCGTCGGGCGGCCTGGAGTGACCCAGGCCCGCGGTTTCCCAGCTTCAGGAACCAGGTGGCCGTGCTTCCCCGCTCTTCCCACTGTTGGGACCATCGCGTGACAGCGTGGCTGACGCGTCCGGGGTTGTGCACGTGGCCTCTCGTGGCTGCCAGACAGCAGCGCATGTGACATCAGTGGGCACAGGAAACATGTTCATGCCCCGAGCCTGCCCTCTGGCCGACTGGAGAACCACGTGGCCGCTGCACGGACAGCTGCCTGCTTCTGGGGAAGGCCTGGACTGTGGGCGGCATCCACAACATTCCGGCCACGGCCGGCCCTGCAGACCCACCACTGACAGACAAACAGACAAGCCGGACGGACCGCCGCAGTCATGAGCTGCGTGGACGGCCACTTTGTCAGCCGCTGTCACCTGCTCTTCCATAAACCAAAGTGTTGTTCACATGGGATGAGACACGTCATTTTCAGTATACAGTCTGATAAATGTCAGTAATTGTGGTCATTCACGCACCCCCGCAATCCAGACAGCGAGACCCAGAGGCCCTGCTCTCTGGACCCCGGTTCGGCCGTGTTCAAGGTCCACGGGAGGGAATTATCCCGTCTTTGTGTCCAGTGCTGTCAGTGAGTGAACGCCCCTGAGCATCGCTGGGGACACACACCAGTTCACTGTCTGGGGAGACTCCCACTCAGGGCTGGACATCTGACTGCTTCAGGCCCCCAGAAATTTGGAGCAGCGCAGCTCTGAATGTCCCCATCTGTGTCTTTATATGGGGATGCATGTTCTTATCTAGAATGTGAAGCTGGGGTCTTAGAGAAAGTATATACTTCGTTTGCAAGACTTTGTTCGCCAGAGTGGCTGTGCCCATTCACGGCCCCTCAGCAACACAGGAGCACCCCACACACTTCCCATCACGGCTGTATCTGGCTGCTCGCGGACTCGCGAGGTGACGGCAACTTTGCCCCGCCTGGTGGCTGTGCCGTGGGCCACCCCTCCTGGGCGGCCGGCCCACCATCTTTCGGGCTGCGAGGGAGGCTCTGCCGCAGTGTTTCATGCATTTAGATTGAATCGTAAGAGCTGCTTTTGTATTATGCCGAGTGCAAACCCCTTTCAGAAACATATTTTCCAAAATTTTCTCCTTGGCTCTGTCTTCCCACTGTGGTAGCTGTCTCTCTAAGGGCAGAAGTTTTTAACCTTCGTGAGGTCTGTTTCACTGTGCAAGCTCCCAGGTGAGCCACAAACCCAGACACGTGCACACGCTCACACAGGTGCACACGCACCCTGCCCGCAGTGACAGGTTGGGCAGAAGCCTCCGCAGGGGGAAGGCCCCGGAAATGGCGGTGAGCGGAATCTGAGAGTCCATCTCACCATCCCGGGTCGGACGCCTCCCTGGCAGGGGGCCGCCCACCTCTTGGGGGCCTGACCCGGGCTTCACACACACACACACACGCGCGCACACACACACACACACACACACACACGCAGGACGGGGAGGCGGGGCAGCCCTGGAGAAGGGGGTTACTGGGGGGGGTCACATTCTGCCCGTGAAGTTTGCCAAAGCCAGGCCAGGCAGATGTGTGCGACGTCACCTGTGCCCTGCACGCAGAGCCTGGTGACAGGCCCCGCGGGGGCGAGGGGCCCGCTGGGCCTTCGGGACACACTGAGCCCTGGGCGAGCAGCCCACCGCGCCGCCCGCTGAAGCACAGCCACACAGCGTCTCTGCCTGAGTTTATTTTGAAAGTAAAGATTTGAACAAAGGCCCGGAAAATAAATATCTACGGAGAGGATGCCAGGGGGTGAGGATTAGGGGGTGAGGAAGCTCGGAGGGTGAGCAGGTCGGGGGTGCGGACGGGCGGGGCGGCCCTGCTCAGCCCCTCCCGGAGCGCCGGGCGCGGCCAGAGGCCCTGCGCTGGGCAGTCAGGGGCTGGCACGCGCTGTCCTGGCACAGGCAGCTCTCGATGTGGGTGTAGGTGTGACTCCGCTGGCTGCCGTCGGAGCAGAGCAGCTGTACCTCCCGCTGGCTGGTGCGCTCCTCCTTGCAGCAGGAGCACTGGTGGTCCAGGGCCTGAGCCTCGGCCGAGTACCTGCGGGGAAGCCGCGGTGAGGCCCCTCCCGGCACGCAGCCCCTTCCCGCCTCCCCCGCTCCCGGCCAAAACTCACATGGAGAAGGTCCCACAGGACCCGGTGCAGTAATTCATGGTGACATTCGCGGTGCAGCCGCCATCTGAAATCTCCCGGGTGACAGGGACCGTGGCGCAGGGGAGCCTGGTCTCATTGCGAGGGATGCCTGGGGGGCGGCGAGGCAGAGGCTCAGGGAGGGGCTCCGCGCCTCGCAGAAGACTCACCACCCCGCCGTGGCGCCCAGACTGACGCCCAGGCGGCCCACCCGCCAGGCCTTTACTCACATTTCTTGCAGCAGCCATTGGGCATGAGGGTGATGGAGCCCTGGAGGGAAGGACAGTGGTCAGGGTGTAACCCCAGGGACAGTCCCTGCAGCAGGGGCCCGAGCCAGAGGCCACTGCCCCGGCACTGGGGACCAGCCCTCTGGGGACACGGGGACCCCCACCCCAGCAAGAGCACACACAGCGAACAGCCCAGACGGGCCGGCTCACCGGGAGGCAGTCTCTGGGGTCGAAGTCGGGGCAGGTGATGTTGGAGACGGACGAGATCAGCTGGTTGTGGATTTCCACGCAGCTGAAGAGGGTGCAGTTGTTCCCAGGGTCCTTTATTATGTTCCCGGGCTGCGGGGCAGAGCACACTGCCCTGAGGGCTGGCAGGAGGCCCCCAGGAAGACGGGCGGGAATACCGGGCCACACCGGCCAAGTGCAGCTCTCGGACGGAAGGTCCGGCCTGCAGGCCCAGAGCCACCAGGCAGGTGACACGCACAGGGGCCCAGGGACAGCCACCAGCCTGAAATCTATAGACATGCCCACGTCCTGACCCCCGGAACCTGCGGACCGGACCTTATTTAGAAAACGGGTCTTTGCAGGCAGTTAAATGGAGGGTGGCAGATGAGGTCGCCCTGGATTACCGGGGGACCCAAACCCAGTGACAAGCATCCTCAGAAGAAGTGACAGAAGAGACGCCCAGGGGAAGGACCACGTGATCACGGGGACAGAAATGGGTGTGCAGCCCAGGGACCCTGCAGCCCCAGAGGCTGGAGGCAGCAGGAAGACCATCCCCCAGGAGCTTCTGGAAGGAGCCTGGCCTCCCGGACGGGGATGGAGTTGTCCCTGCTGTTCTCGGCCCCACACCCAACCGTGGTCACTAGCACCTGTGCAGCCAGGCAGGCACTGGGAGGCCCTGGTCACGCCCCCGCCCCGCCCCCTCAGGAGCGCCCGCCCGCAGGCACCTGCAGGATGAGGGGTTGCTCCTCGCCGGGCCTGCGGATGATACACTGGGTCTGCTGGCACCGGGGGCAGCACTCGCCCGAGACGTTCACCAGCCCGAAGCCCTAGGAGACAGGTGTCGGCACTCCAGGCGGCGTGGGGAGAGGAGGGGTGCGGGCAGGACCCCTGTGCTCCCGGGCAGGGGACTCACTGGGTTGCAGACTTGGGTGCAGGGCACGCGGCTACAGGACACCTCCTTGAGCTGCGTGGCGCTGTCCGTGACGTTGGTGCAGACACACACCTGGCACTTAGAGGAGTGCACTGGCGAGCCGGGCTGGGACGGGGGGCGAGGGGCAGTGTGAGGTGGGCGCGCGAGCCCTGGGGCCTGCCCGGGACCCCGCCCCCTGGCCCCGCTCCCTCCCCACGGTGCAGCCCCGGCTCACCTGGTACTCAGCGTTACCGACCACGCACACGCCCTTGGGCACTGCGGAGGAAGAGAGCCGGCCCTCGGGTCAGACACACAGCCTGGTGGATGGCTCGGGCCCTCGGGCCTGGGATGGGTGGGGCCCCAGAGGGGAGCCACTGACCCCCACCGACCCCCTCACGCCACAGCTCAGCCCCAGCGGCCGCCCACCAGTCCTCCTCCCAGAGCCCTGGGCCCGGCCAGGACCCCTGCCCCTCCCCTGGCCTCCGGCCCCCTCACCGCAGGAGTAGAAGGGGCAGCACCGCCCCAGCAGCATCTCGCTCTTCACCTCGAAGCCCAGCGGGCACTGCGGGGCCTTCTCCTTGCACAGGCTGGTGTTGCACTCTAGGGACAGAGGGAGGGGACACAGGAGTCACGAGCCGCTCTTTGCAGGCAGGGCCCTGTGCCCCCCACCCCGCCAGGCAGGGTCTGGGCCTGAGCACGGCTCCCTCCCAGCGCTCGCTCTCAGCCAGACACGCCCGAGGCCCCAGCCTCCAGCAGCGGGGCCTCCGTAGCTCCCTCGCTCACGAGGAGGTGACGGCAGGCGCAGAGAGCTTGCTCAGGGACCCCAGGGGCCCCAGCAGGGGACAGAGGCCCAGAGACCCGGAAGCGGCAGCCCCGGCCCCGGGCGGCCTTACTGCAGGAGGTGATGTTGCAGCAGGTGTCCGACGGGTCGACTTCAGTGACCGGGTAGGTGCCATCCTCGGAGCACTGGGCGGGCAGGTTCTGGCTGCACTTCTTGGGCTGACAGACAATGCCGCTTCCGCCCTCCAGGCACACGCAGTCCTTGCAGTCGAACTCGAAGTGCTCCCCAAACTGCAAAGAGCAGGGGTGAGCAGGACGGGGCCTGTACCCCGCGCACCAGGGCTGCACTGTGGCCCGTCTGCGGTCGAGGGAGAGGGCTCTGCGCCGGGCACCCACGGGCGGCCCCATGTGGCGCCCCACACCCTGCCACCTCTCAACCCGAGGGGAGGTTCTGGCCCAGCACAGGGGCCGTCACTCAGGGCCAGGCCACCAGTGACACCGCCACAATCTGCATGGGACAGGCACACGGCAGGTGCACGGCCCTGTCTGCCAGGCGCACAGCTGCGGGAGGAGAGCTGAGGGCCACCTGCACGGGGGGTGCTGCTGCGACCTCAGCTCAGGTCACCGAGCGCTGGGCGACCAAAGGGCCCGAGGTGTGGGGAGCGCATGGATGAGCAGAGGGACAGAGGCATGCGGGGACGGGGGCTGGACGGACGGAAGGAGGGAGGAAGGGCCTGCTGGAGGCGTGGCTGGGTGGACGGGGCGGGGCGGTGGTGGGGCGGCGGTGGGGTAGGACATTCCTGCCAGCCCCGCCTCGCAGCCCCTGAAGGACTCAGTCTCTGTGGGAGAAGAGAGGACAGACAGCCCCAGCCACCGAGGGCGAGGCCCACCTCTCTGGGCACGTTGTCCGGTCCCACGCAGCCTAGGAGAAAGGAGACAGGGCCGGTCAGCAGGGTCCAGGAGGGCAGGACCGGGCTCGGCCTCGAGGGGGCCGGAGAGAGGACCGGGAGCGGGAGGCGTACCACACACATCTACGCAGACGTCAAAGCCAGGGGCGTAGCTCGTGGTGCCCTCGGGGCAGAAGCAGCCTTCCACCAGCAGGGTGCTGTTCTGCGGGAAGCTGCAGGGGCAGGAAGGCGTCATGAGCCAGGCCTGTGGACGGCTGGGGTGGCGGCACACGGGGGCCACCCCGGCCAGCCAGGGGAGCCCGCAGCCCCCACACGTCCTCCCACGGCTGACCTGGACTTGCAGGTGGGCTCCTGCACAGGCCCGCAGGCCCGGTACTCCCTGTGGGACGGGCACACCAGCGCTGTGGGAGGGAGGCGTAGCCAGAGGGACCAGAGTCAGAAGGAAGGAGACCGTGTCTCCAGCCCCCCGTAGCCCCACCCCTGCAAGTGACAGCCCCGGCCCACCCTTCCCCTCTCCTCCCACTTTGGCCAAGGGTGGTTTGGCACCCCATGCAGCCCTGAGCCGGGTGCCGGGCACTCGGTGGCACTGAGCCAGGCTGGCAGCACCCGAGCGCCCCCTGCCCCAGCTGCCCCGCTCCGGCCTGGCCCCAGGCTGAGCACGGGCTGGGCATGGGCCACGGGTCAGCAGGCACTTACGGCAGGCCCCGTGGGTGCGGTTCCGCCAGTCGATGCAGGCGCCCTGCTGGGCGCAGAGGGCAGCGTAGGCCTGCAGGCTGGTGCACTCCATGCCGGAGTTGGGCACAAAGCAGGTGTCAAACACGCAGGCTTCGTAGTAGTGCTGGGGGGGCACTAGAGCATGGCACGGGGCAAACAGGCTGCGGGGGAACGTGGGTCACACTCTGCCAGTGTCACTCCCTGCCTCTCTCAAGCCCCCTTCACCCAGCGCTTGCCTTGGGGTGGCCCACTGGGAGGCCCTGGGTCAGGGGGCTTGGGATAGCAGTCTGGCTCACAGAGTGGCCGGCACCGCCCCTCAGCTACTCTAGCACGGGGCCACCCGGCCTCAGCACGCAACCCTCTAGAAATGAGGTGCTTGCTGGCCCCCCCCCCCTTCGAGAGCGACCCTCCGTCTCAGCCCAACCCTGCTCCCGGCATCAGCCCTGAGCACATGCTCTGTTCTGGCCAACTGGTCTACCCCAGGCTGAAGCTGTCCTGCACCCCCAGAGGCAGGGACGACACGAGGGCTCTGACCAGGCAGCTCGGGCCTGCGTTCTGGGCCCCTTGGCTGCTGGCACCTGCCTCCCAGCCCCACAGTTGGCACCTGCCTCCTGTCCTTGCAGACAGACAAGGTGGGGGGCCCAGAGAAGGGAGCCCGCACCCCGAGACCCTGCAGTGCACTAGTGACCGAGACAGCAGGCAGGCCCAGGTGCACAGTCACCTGTCCTTGATGAGCTCGCAGAGAGGAGATGAACAGTTCTTGTGGGGGGGGACCAGGCCGCCCCCTGCGGTCGTGGTGGCTGGGCGCCGGGTAGTGAGGCTGGACTGGGGACACTGTGGCTTGGTCGGGTCGTTCACCACCCACTGGTCAGCTGCGACCTCACAGTTGGAGACGACCTCGCCGCTGGGCAGCACGCAGTCATCCTGCGTGTTGTTGTTGCAGGTGCCTGTGGCGGTGAGACGGCCCGCGCTGAACAGCCTGGCCCCGCCGTCCAGCAGGTGGGGCGGGCCCCGGGACCACTCTGCCCCTCCACCCCTCTAGCCCAGCCTCCCTGCTGACCAGCTGACTGGAGCTGAGGGCACTGAGGACGCTAGACTCTGATCGGCTTCCCGCAGGGGCCAAAGCTGGAAGGCCGGCCCCAGGGCCCTGAGCAAAGGGGCGGGAGCACCACGTGGGACAGGTGGGTGCTAATGCAGACTCCGCCCGCCACCCCTGCCCAGGGCACCGCCCAGAGGCCGCCGGGCCCAGCGGCGCGAGGCTCACCACACTGGCCCTTGGTGTTGTTGCCGAAGCGGTAGTAGGGCAGCCGGATGGAGAAGGAGAGGCCGTTGTAGGAGACGACCACGCCCAGCTCGGGGATGTCCACCACGTAGTTGATGCCCGACTCGTACACCTGCAGCCCGAACTTCTTGTAGGGCAGGGCCACGACCTGCTTGTTGACCTGCACCTGTGGCCGACACGCCTGGACTCAGGGACAGCCAGCGGGCAGGCCCCGTGGGCCCCACGGCTGCAAGCCCCACCCCCCCGCCTGGGCCGGGAGAGCTGCGTCCCACCCCGTCTCTCCGCCCGCCACCTCCCCTGTCCTGTTCGCGCTCCCTCTTCTTTGTCCTGCTGGCCCAGGGTCAGGTGGCAGTGAGGTGCTGCCCGTGGAGCCCCCCAGGGATGTTGGGGTCCATGGAAGGGGTGGAGCTCCCCGAACAACTCCATGTGTATTGAGCCCGGTCCTGCCCGACAGCCCCTGTCCCTGGGGGGGGGGGCTCCTGCACTGAGACCTGTGCCCAGGGTGGTGGCAGGGGCCTGAGGGGGGGGGCCAAGGGGTCCCCCCAAATGCCCCCTCGAGCACCGCCCCAGAGAGCTCCGCCGGCCCTCTGCCAGCTGGGCTCTGAGGACTCGGCCTGGCCCCCCGCGGCGCGGGCCCCGCCGGCGTACCTGCACCTTCACGGGGGACATGTGCACCGTCCTGATCAGCACCTCCTGGGTCTCGTGGAGCACGATGAGCGTGCGGGGGCAGGACACCTGGTCGTGGACGTCGCAGTGGTAGTTGTCGATGTAGACCCCGAAGTTGTCCACGTTGGGGGCGACCTCCTCCACCAGCACGTAGGTGCAGTTGCCCTGGTAGCTGTAGTAGAGTCCGTCGAAGGTGACGTAGTGCGGGTCCCCCCAGCCCGTGCAGTAGCCTGCGGACGGAGTGGGCTGAGCCAGCGCAGAGCCCCGAGACGGGGCGAGGGTAAGGCCTGGAGGGGAGAGCCCGGCTCCCAGAGCACAGGAGGGTGCCAACCGGGAGGGTCTGCTTCCACCCCCAGCCCCCAAATGGGCACCTCCCCACTCAGCCCACCGCGGCCCGTCCCTCCGACCGGACACGTCCCGGCCTTGGAGCCAGAAGCCCGGGCCCACCTCCAGCTCTGCCCTCTAACCCCAGATACAGCCTCGTTCCAGGGAGGTGGTCCAGCTGCCCCAGGCAAGCCCTGCCCCCTGGCCCTGCCCAAGATGGGAACCAGGAGGGGGGAGTCCCTCAGGACATGCGCCTGGCACACCAGGCCGTCACACACAGCCCGGGTTCTGCTGTGCCCAAGGTCCTCAGGTCCTGCAGCCTTCACTCACAGAAGGGTAGGGCGGAGAAGGGGACAGGAGGGGAGGACCACAAAGTGTCCCCAGGCTTACAGTCACACTCCCAGTGCCAGCAGCAGCCATCGGGGTCCATGACACGCACGGGTGTGAGGTTGTTGGAACAGGTGGGCATGGGCGGGGGCTTGCACTCCACCTGCACCAGCTCCACAGTGTTGTCGTGCTTGCAGACGGCCATGGTGCAGTTGCACAGCCACCAGGTCTCGTTCTCCTGCAGCCAGGAGGGCACGGAGTCAGCCAGGCAGAGCCGGGCCCTCTGCCCTCCCAGGGGCGTGAGGCCCTGGGGGGAATGTCTGGGAGCCCTGCCCCCGGAGGCTGGAGGCCAAGGGCGCCCCACTCAGGAGACAGCTCCCTCAGCCTCTCTGCAGCCCCCTGTCTCTTGTAAGGATGAGTAGGGCATAGGGGAGAAGGTAGGAGAGCACCAGCAGACTGCACCCAAAAGGCTTGGCCCGGTGGTGGATGGCTCAGGACAGAGAGCACAGGGTGATCTGCAGAAGGACCCCTGGGGCTTGAGGCCAGGACAGTGTGTCTGGTGCTCAGGGGCTAAAAGCTGCCCGCGGCCCACTGACCTGTCTGGGAGGGTCGAAGTCCGGGCACCCTGGGGGTTTGGTGGGGGTCGGCATGCGTGACGTCGTGGGCACAGGTGGGCTTGGTGTGGAAGAGGGTGTTGGTGTGGATGGTGTGGGCTTGGGGGAGGGTGTGGATGGGCACGACCAGTTGAAGATCTCAATGGTGCAGCTCACAGAGCAGTTGGCGTAGTAGCAGGTGTCTCCGTGAGTGCCGCTGTACACCTGCTCGCCTGCAGAGGAGACACCCAGGCCCTGAGCCATTCAGGCAGCGGTGCCAGAGTGCACAGGCAGGTCCCCACAAAGGCCGCCAGGGGAGAGCACCCACCCCCCACAGTCCCCTGACTCCTGCCGCAGCAAGGTGCTGCTGGCCACAGGGACAGCCACCCATGCTCAGCAGCCAGATACCAGGAAGCTCCTGGTTGAGACCTGAGACCAGACTCCTCCCCACTGGTTAAAGGAGATCGGAGTCGCACCAGCCTCTGATGCCTGAGTGAGAAGAAAAGACCTTAGGTACCTGGAGCATAGTACGTGTCGTTCAAAACGCAGCATTTCCAAACACCAGGAGGGGAGGTTGGGGTAATGGTCGGGATCGGCATGGGGGTAGAGACACTGACTGAAGTGGTGGTGGTGAGGGTGGGTGTGGTGGTGGGTGGTGTCTCAGTGGTGGTGGTGGGTATGGTGGTTCCTGGTATCTTCATGGTCATGGAGGTCGGTGTGGTGGTCTCCACTGTCACTGTAGTGGTGGTGGTGGTGGTGAGTGTAGAGGGTGATGCCTCGGTGCTGGTGGTGGGTGGTATTTCGGTGGTGGTGACGTGGGTGGGGGTGGGTGGTGTCTCAGTGGTACTGGTGGGTGTGGTGGTGCTTGGTGTCTCAGTGCTGGTTGTGGAAGGTGTGGTGGTGGGTGGTATTTCGGTGGTGGTGACATGGGTGGGGGTGGGTGGTGTCTCGGTGGTGGTGGGTGTGGTGGTGAGTGGTGTCTCAGTAGTGGTGGTGGCTGCTGTGGTGCTCTCTGGTGTCACTGTAGTGGTAGTGGTGGTGGGTGTGGTGGTGAGTGGTGTCTCAGTGGTACTGGTAGGTGTGGTGGTGCTTGGTGTCTCAGTGCTGGTTGTGGTAGGTGCGGTGGTGGGTGGTGTCTCGGTGGTGGTGATGATGGGTGTTGTAGTGCCTGGTATCTCAGTAGTTGTGGTGGCTGCTGTGGTGCTCTCTGGTGTCACCGTGGTGGTGATGGAGGAGGTAGTGGGGGATGGTGTCTCAGTGGTGGTAGTAATGGTGGGTGGGGTGGTGCTTGGTGTCTCAGTGGTGGTTGTGATGGGTGTGGTGGTAGGTGGTATTTTGGTGGTGGTTGTAATGGTTGGTATGGTGGTGGGTGGTGCCTCTCTGGTGGTTGTGGTGGTGGGTGTGGAAGTGCTTGGTGCCTCGGTGGTGGTGGGTGTTGTGGTGCCTGGTATCTCCATGGTCATGGTGGTCTCTTGTGTCACCGTAGTGGTGGTGGTGGGCGGTGCCTCGGTGGTAATGGTGGTGGGTGTGTTGGTGGGTGGTATTTCAGTGGTGCTGGTGGGTGTGGTGGTCCTTGGTGTCTCAGTGGTGGTTGTGGAAGTGGGTGTTGTGGTGCCTGGTATCTCTGTGGTGGTAGTGATTGGTGTGGTGGTCTCCGGTGTCACCGTGGCGGTCGTGGTGGTGGGTGGTGTCTCAGTGGTTGTGGAGGTGGCTGTGGTAATGGGTGGTATCTCAGTGGTGGTTGTGACGGGTGTGGTGGTAGGTGGTGCCTCTGTGGTGGTTGTGGTGGTAGGTGTGGTTGTGCCTGGTGTCTGAGTGGTGCTGGTGGATGGTGTCTCTGTGGTTGTGGTGATTGGTGTGGTGGTCTCAGGTGTCACTGTGGTGGTGGTTGTGATGGTTGTGGTAGTGGGTAGTGTTGTGCTGGGTGGTGTCTCAGTGGTTGTGGAGGTGGGTGTGGTAATGGGTGGTATCTCAGTGGTGGTCATGATGGTGGGTGTGGTGGCCTCCGGTGTCAGTCTGGTGGTGGTGGGTGTGGAGGTGGGTGGTGCCTCCGTGGTGGTCGTGGTGGTAGGTGTGGGTGTGCCTGGTGTCTGAGTGGTGGTGGTGGATGGTATCTCTGTGGTCGTGGTGGTTGGTGTGGTGCTCTCTTGTGTCACCGCAGTGGTGGTGGTGGGTGGTGCCTCGGTGCTGGTGGTGATGCCTGGTATCTGTGTGGTCGTGGTGATTGGTGTGGTGGTCTCGGGTGTCACTATGGCGGTCATGGTGGTGGGTGGTATCTCAGTGGTTGTGGAGGTGGCTGTGGTAATGGGTGGTATCTCAGTGGTGGTTGTTGTGATGGGTGTGGTGGTAGGTGGTGCCTCTGTGGTGGTCGTGGTGGTAGGTGGTGTCTCAGTGGTTGTGGAGGTGGGTGTGGTGGTCTCCGGTGTCAGTCTGGTGGTGGTGGGTGTGGAGGTGGGTGGTGCCTCCGTGGTGGTCGTGGTGGTAGGTGTGGTTGTGCCTGGTGTCTGAGTGGCGGTGGTGGGTGGTATCTCCGTGGTCGTGGTGGTGGGTGTGGTGGTCTCAGGTGTCACTGTGGTGGTGGTTGTGATGGTTGTGGTAGTGGGTGGTGTTGTGCTGGGTGGTGTCTCAGTGGTTGTGGAGGTGGGTGTGGAGGTGGGTGGTGCCTCCGTGGTGGTCGTGGTGGTAGGTGTGGTTGTGCCTGGTGTCTGAGTGGTGGTGGTGGGTGGTGCCTCGGTGGTAATGGTGGTGGGTGTGTTGGTGGGTGGTATTTCAGTGGTGCTGGTGGGTGTGGTGGTCCTTGGTGTCTCAGTGGTGGTTGTGGAGGTGGGTGTTGTGGTGCCTGGTATCTCTGTGGTGGTAGTGATTGGTGTGGTGGTCTCCGGTGTCACCGTGGCGGTCGTGGTGGTGGGTGGTGTCTCAGTGGTTGTTGTGATGGGTGTGGTGGTAGGTGGTGCCTCTGTGGTGGTCGTGGTGGTAGGTGTGGTTGTGCTTGGTGTCTGAGTGTTGGTGGTGGATGGTATCTCTGTGGTCGTGGTGCTGGGTGTGGTGGTCTCAGGTGTCACCGTGGTGGTGGTTGTGATGGTTGTGGTAGTGGGTGGTGTTGTGCTGGGTGGTGTCTCAGTGGTTGTGGAGGTGGGTGTGCTGATGGGTGGTATCTCAGTGGTGGTCGTGGTGGTGGGTGTGGAGGTGGGTGGTGCCTCCGTGGTGGTCGTGATGCTGGGTGTGGTGGTCTCCGGTGTCACTCTGGTGGTCGTGGTGGTGGGTGTGGTGGATGAGGGGCCACAGGGTTTGCAGCAGTAGACGTTGATCTCGTAGTTGAGGCAGAAGGGCTGTGGGATGACTCCCCCTGGCTTCTGGTCTTCGTTCCTGCACACCAGCCCGACTGAGAGGTCACACAGCACGATCTGTCCCAGCTGTTCCATGGGGACACTTGGAAACTGAGAGGCTCTGCAGGAGATGTTGGCTGCGAAGCCCGACTGGCAGGCGTTGTTTATGAATTCAAAGTCTCCACCTGGTTTGTTAAAGTTCGGTTTCCCGGAGTCCACCCAGCCCGTCCACTGGCAGTCTTCCACACACGGAGTGGTGGGGGCTGACTCCGGTGTGGGCGTGGTGGTGGTCACAGTGGTGGTGGGTTCTGGTGTGGTGGTCGTCGTTTCTGGAGTTGGCGTGGTCGGTGATGTGGTGGGAGTGGTCATCACGGTGGTGGTGGTTGTGGTGGCGGTTGGTATCTCCGTGGTCCTGGAGGTTGGTGTGGTGGTGGGTGGTGTCTCAATGGTGGCAGTGGATGGTATCTCCGTGGTGGTGGTTGGAGTGGTGGTACCTGGTGTCTCCGTGGTCATGGTGGTTGGTGTGGTGCTCTCTGGTGTCACTGTAGTGGTGGTGGTGGGTATGGCTGTGTGTGGTATCTCAGTGCTGGTGGTGGTAGGTGTGATGGTGGGTGTTGTGGTGCCTGGTATCTCCGTGGTCGTGGTGGTTGGTGTGGTGCTCTCTTGTGTCACTGTAGTGGTGGTGATGGGTGGTGCCTTGGTGGTAATAGTGGTGGGTGTGTTGGTGGGTGGTATTTCAGTGGTGCTGGTGGGTGTAGTGGTCCTTGGTGTCTCAGTGGTGGTTGTAGTAGGTGTGGTGGATGTGGTGGTGCTTGGTACCTCGGTGGTGGTGGTGGTGGGTGCTGTGGTGCCTGGTACCTCTGTGGGTGTGCTGATTGGTGTGGTGGTCTCCGGTGTCACCGTGGCGGTCGTGGTGGTGGGTGGTGTCTCAGTGGTGGTTGTTGTGATGGGTGTGGTGGTAGGTGGTGCCTCTGTGGTGGTCGTGGTGGTAGGTGTGGTTGTGCCTGGTGTCTGAGTGGTGGTGGTGGGTGGTATCTCTGTGGTCGTGGTGCTGGGTGTGGTGGTCTCTGGTGTCACTGTGGTAGTGGTTGTGATGGTTGTGGTAGTGGGTGGTGTTGTGCTGGGTGGTGTCTCAGTGGTTGTGGAGGTGGGTGTGCTGATGGGTGGTATCTCAGTGGTGGTCATGGTGGTGGGTGTGGAGGTGGGTGGTGCCTCCGTGGTGGTCGTGGTGGTAGGTGTGGTTGTGCCTGGTGTCTGAGTGGTGGTGGTGGGTGGTATCTCCGTGGTCGTGGTGGTGGGTGTGGTGGTCTCAGGTGTCACTGTGGTGGTGGTTGTGATGGTTGTGGTAGTGGGTGGTGTTGTGCTGGGTGGTGTCTCAGTGGTTGTGGAGGTGGGTGTGGTGCTCTCTTGTATCACCGTAGTGGTGGTGGTGGGTGGTGCCTCGGTGCTGGTGGTGGTGCCTGGTATCTCTGTGGTGGTAGTGATTGGTGTGGTGGTCTCCGGTGTCAGTCTGGTGGTGGTGGGTGTGGAGGTGGGTGGTGCCTCCGTGGTGGTCGTGGTGGTAGGTGTGGGTGTGCCTGGTGTCTGAGTGGTGGTGGTGGATGGTATCTCCGTGGTTGTGGTGGTGGTTGTGATGGTTGTGGTAGTGGGTGGTGTTGTGCTGGGTGGTGTCTCAGTGGTTGTGGAGGTGGGTGTGCTGATGGGTGGTATCTCAGTGGTGGTCGTGGTGGTGGGTGTGGAGGTGGGTGGTGCCTCCGTGGTGGTCGTGGTGGTAGGTGTGGTTGTGCTTGGTGTCTGAGTGGTGGTGGTGGATGGTATCTCTGTGGTCATGGTGGTTGGTGTGGTGCTCTCTTGTGTCACCGCAATGGTGGTGGTGGGTGGTGCCTCGGTGCTGGTGGTGATGCCTGGTATCTGTGTGGTCGTGGTGATTGGTGTGGTGGTCTCCGGTGTCACCGTGGCGGTCGTGGTGGTGGGTGGTATCTCGGTGGTTGTGGAGGTGGCTGTGGTAATGGGTGGTATCTCAGTGGTGGTTGTTGTGATGGGTGTGGTGGTAGGTGGTGCCTCTGTGGTGGTCGTGGTGGTAGGTGGTGTCTCAGTGGTTGTGGAGGTGGGTGTGGTGGTCTCCGGTGTCAGTCTGGTGGTGGTGGGTGTGGAGGTGGGTGGTGCCTCCGTGGTGGTCGTGGTGGTAGGTGTGGATGTGCCTGGTGTCTGAGTGGTGGTGGTGGGTGGTATCTCCGTGGTTGTGGTGGTGGGTGTGGTGGTCTCAGGTGTCACTGTGGTGGTGGTTGTGATGGTTGTGGTAGTGGGTGGTGTTGTGCTGGGTGGTGTCTCAGTGGTTGTGGAGGTGGGTGTGCTGATGGGTGGTATCTCAGTGGTGGTCGTGGTGGTGGGTGTGGAGGTGGGTGGTGCCTCCGTGGTGGTCGTGGTGGTAGGTGTGGTTGTGCTTGGTGTCTGAGTGGTGGTGGTGGGTGGTATCTCCGTGGTCGTGGTGGTGGGTGTGGTGGTCTCAGGTGTCACTGTGGTGGTGGTTGTGATGGTTGTGGTAGTGGGTGGTGTTGTGCTGGGTGGTGTCTCAGTGGTTGTGGAGGTGGGTGTGCTGATGGGTGGTATCTCAGTGGTGGTCGTGGTGGTGGGTGTGGAGGTGGGTGGTGCCTCCGTGGTGGTCGTGGTGGTAGGTGTGGTTGTGCTTGGTGTCTGAGTGGTGGTGGTGGGTGGTATCTCCGTGGTCGTGGTGGTGGGTGTGGTGGTCTCAGGTGTCACTGTGGTGGTGGTTGTGATGGTTGTGGTAGTGGGTGGTGTTGTGCTGGGTGGTGTCTCAGTGGTTGTGGAGGTGGGTGTGCTGATGGGTGGTATCTCAGTGGTGGTCGTGGTGGTGGGTGTGGAGGTGGGTGGTGCCTCCGTGGTGGTCGTGGTGGTAGGTGTGCTTGTGCTTGGTGTCTGAGTGGTGGTGGTGGGTGGTGCCTCGGTGGTAATGGTGGTGGGTGTGTTGGTGGGTGGTATTTCAGTGGTGCTGGTGGGTGTGGTGGTCCTTGGTGTCTCAGTGGTGGTTGTGGAGGTGGGTGTTGTGGTGCCTGGTATCTCTGTGGTGGTAGTGATTGGTGTGGTGGTCTCCGGTGTCACCGTGGCGGTCGTGGTGGTGGGTGGTGTCTCAGTGGTTGTTGTGATGGGTGTGGTGGTAGGTGGTGCCTCTGTGGTGGTCGTGGTGGTAGGTGTGGTTGTGCTTGGTGTCTGAGTGTTGGTGGTGGATGGTATCTCTGTGGTCGTGGTGCTGGGTGTGGTGGTCTCAGGTGTCACCGTGGTGGTGGTTGTGATGGTTGTGGTAGTGGGTGGTGTTGTGCTGGGTGGTGTCTCAGTGGTTGTGGAGGTGGGTGAGCTGATGGGTGGTATCTCAGTGGTGGTCGTGGTGGTGGGTGTGGAGGTGGGTGGTGCCTCCGTGGTGGTCGTGATGCTGGGTGTGGTGGTCTCCGGTGTCACTCTGGTGGTCGTGGTGGTGGGTGTGGTGGATGAGGGGCCACAGGGTTTGCAGCAGTAGACGTTGATCTCGTAGTTGAGGCAGAAGGGCTGTGGGATGACTCCCCCTGGCTTCTGGTCTTCGTTCCTGCACACCAGCCCGACTGAGAGGTCACACAGCACGATCTGTCCCAGCTGTTCCATGGGGACACTTGGAAACTGAGAGGCTCTGCAGGAGATGTTGGCTGCGAAGCCCGACTGGCAGGCGTTGTTTATGAATTCAAAGTCTCCACCTGGTTTGTTAAAGTTCGGTTTCCCGGAGTCCACCCAGCCCGTCCACTGGCAGTCTTCCACACACGGAGTGGTGGGGGCTGACTCCGGTGTGGGCGTGGTGGTGGGCACAGTGGTGGTCGTCGTTTCTGGGGTTGCGGTGGGCGTCCGGTTCGGGGTCACCTTGGTGGTGGGTTCTGGCGTGGGGGTGAGTGTCGTCGTTTCTGGGGTCGAGGTGGTTGGTGAGGTGGTGGCAGATGTCATGGTCGGGGTTGGGGACCCAGGACACTCATCCATTGGCAGACAGCAGTTGACACGAATCTCGTAGTCGTAACAGACGGCAAACGGCCCGCTTCCAAACTGGTCTTCATTGTTGCAGATGAACCCAACGGAGAGGTTGCACTGCGCCTTCTGGCCCAGATCCTCCCAGCTGAGGTGGGGTTCCGTGGCTGCCCTGCACTCGATGTCCTCGGGGGCCTGGCAGACGCTGTGGAACGTCTCTCGGTCGCCACTGTCGGGCCAGGGGCTCGGGTGGTTCTCGTTGATCCAGTTGGACCAGAAGCAGCACAGCTCTGGGGAAGCAAGAGCCAGCGCTGGTCACTGGTGCCCGGGGGGCTGTGGGAGGTTGTTGGGGCCCAGAGGGCTCTGAGAGCCCGTGGCTGTGCCCCCCACCGACGAGGACCCACAGTGTTTGGGGCTGGACTCCACACCCGCCCTCCTTTCACAGCTGAAGCCCGAGGCCCAGTGTGGGCAGAGCGCCCGACACACACCGGGCTGGTCCCAGGCCACAGGGCTCCGGCCCAGAGCCCCTCCCTCAGCCCCATCAAATCCTGGAGCCGAAACAGCAACTAACAAATGGGTCGCCCCTTCCGGTGAGGAAGCACACTGGAAGGGCCTTGGTCTTGACCCTCGACCAGCACTGTTCTCCGTCGGAGCTGGTCGAGTTCCCCTGTGCGAGTCCCTGGGCTCAGCACTTCGGGAATCTGTCCCCAAAGGCACGGTGCGTGGTCTCTAAGCAGAGGGCCAGGCGGCCGGGGCAGCTCTGCGAGGGCTGGGCTTTGCCTCCTCACCCGCCCGCCACGGAGAGTGACGTCTGCACACTTACTCGTGGTCGGAGAGGAAGGTGAAGCTGCAGGGAAATGGGAGGAAGAGCGTGTCATTGCACAGTGTCAGAGCCACCGACTGACCTCACTTCCACAGGTTTCTTCTGCTGGGGCTGTGCGGTGGTGGCTGCGATCGCCACCAGCACCAACGCAGACGGATTCGAGGACATTTCTCTGCCTTTGCTAACCCATAGGGGTATTTTCTTGCTGGTTTTGGGCAACACCCCACGCCACCGTTACTGTGGTCTGGGCTCAGGGACACAGTCATGAGCACAAGGCGTCTCCACACACGAGGCTGGGGACCCAGTGGACATACACTGCCTGAGTCAAGAGGCATGTGGGGGTTACCTCCCACCTGTACAAAGCCGTCTCTTCCGGCTTTGGGGCGCAGCAGGTGGGGGGGGCATGGCCCTGGGCCTCACCTGTGCTGGGCGCCGGGGGTGTGGGGGTGGTGGTGGTGGAGAGCACAGGAGTTGTGGCAGGGGGTGTCGAGGTGGGCGGGCGTGTCGAGGTGGGAGGGCGAGTCGAGGTGAGTGGGCCTGTCGAGGTGGGCGGGCGTGTCGAGGTGGGCGGGCGCGTCGAGGTGGGAGGGCGTGTCGAGGTGGACACGCAGATGTTGAAATGCTTCTCCACCGTGCCGTTGGGGCCGCAGACCTCCCAGTAGCAAAAGGCGCCGTCCTGGGTGAAATTGAGGATCTTCCCTGGGGAGCAGGAGCGGGCAGACATCAATGTGTGGGGAACGACAGCCCTCGTCCGGTCCCAGCAAGGGACAGACAGGGCATCCCCCGCTCCTGCCAGTGACACACCGACGCTCCGTGGGCAGCCTGCCCCTCGACCCCCAAGGGGCCCCATCAGAACTCAGGAGCTGTGTCGCAGGACGGTCCTGGGCTCCCCATCCAGGGAAACGCAGCGCATGGTGGGAGCCGCCCAGGGGTGCCACAGACCAGAGGGGCTCTGGGTGGCAAGGACCCGCAGGCGGAGGCCAGCCACCCACCCAGGGCAGGGGCCCAGGGGCCCAGGGGCCCAGGGCCAGGCTGCCCGTGGGCCCTGGAGCAGCCACAGAGGGCAGCTCACCTTCCTCGGGCTGGCAGACGACCTGTGAGGAGCCGTTGCACACGCTGCAAAGCAAACGCCAGGGCTGCAGGCTCGGGGAGGCCCAGAGTCCCGGGCCCGGCCGGGAAGGAGCCCTCCCAGATGCCCGTGTGCCCGTGTGCGCTCATATGTGTGCGGGCACCCACTTGGGTGTAGACCTCCCCAGGCCCCCTGTGCTGTGAGCTCAGGTACCAAGACTGGCAGTCTTTCTCGGAGGGGACGGGAGCTCCAGGCGGGTAGTAGGTGCCGTTCACGTAGCAGCCACATTCTTCCCTCCTGACGCACTTCTTCAGGTCCTCCTCGTAGATGGGCTTGTCCGCGGGGCACCGAGGGTAGCAGCCTAGTGGACACGGGGCCCCGGGCTTGAACTGTGTTGCTGGGACCCCACCCATCGTTCCTGCGGTGACCGTCTCTGCTCTCTGGGACGGGCCTCTGGGAAGGCCAGGGCTGGAGAGGCAGAGGCTAGATCCACCCCCCACCGAGCCGGGCAGTCTGCTCTGTGACCAAAGGGACAGCCAGGCCCCGCCCACCGGCTGCACCCACCCCCACCCCCAACCCAGCCTATCTCTCACTCCTTCAGGTCCAGCTAGTTCTCAGCTCAAAGGCCCCCCAGCCCCTCCCCCCGCCTCGTTCGCCCTGGGTTCCTCCGCCCCTGATCTCACAGGCTGCACGTCGCCCTGGCTCTTTCCTGCGTCCCTCCTGCCCAGCAGGCCTGAACTCGGACTCCTGGCCCTGTTCCATGCACAGGTTCTGCAGCAGGGCGAGCCCGGCCCACCCCGGACCCCAGGGTCGCCAGCCCCGCCGGGCCTCACCCTCCAGGTAGGACACGGAGATGTTGGAGTGGATGCCGTTGACGGTCCTGCAGGTGCTGAAGCTGCGGTTCCCGCAGGGCTCGTAGTGCCACTCGCATTCGTCAGGGGGGTTGTAGTAGTCGCAGAACACGGCTGGAGGGGCAGGGTGGGGTCAGCCGCGCACAGGGAGGGCCAGGCCACCCTCAGGCGGGGGGGCGGGCAGAGAGCCGGGGGCACTCACGGCACAGCTCCGGCGTCCTCCAGAACACGCAGGCGCCCTCCTTGGTGCACTCCTGGGCGTAGGAGGCCACCGCGGAGCAGAAGCACTCGCAGTCCCCGCCGGTGTCACAAGAGCAGGAGTCTTGGACGCAGTTCTCATAGAAGGGTTTGGGGTCCACCTGGGGGGGAAGCCACCATGGCCTGAGTCCGCACTGGCCTCGAGGGGCAGGCCTTCCCCTGCAGGCCCCTGGAACTCAGGGCCCCGATGCCAGCCCGCTCTTGGGACAAGGGCCGACACCGGCATGGCCCCCAGGGGGCGCTAACAGGGAGGCCCAGACACAGCCCAGCATCCTTTGCTGTGCTGCGGTGCCCAGGCAGGGGCAGAGGGCTGCCCGGAGTCAGGGGGTTACTCACAGCCTGTACCTCCTCCAGCCTGGAAGGTACAAGAGGCTGGGGCTCCAGCCAGGGGTCTCAGAAGGAAGGTTTAACCTCTGGTCACGTGGTCAAAGGCTGGAGGCGAAGCTGGAGGGCCTCACAGTGGGATTCCAGGAGGACGCCCCAGAGGCTGCCAGGCTCCGCCTGTGGCCACGCCCTTCTCCCCGCCCCAACGCTCGTGGCCACACCCACAGCCCCGCCCACCTTGCTGTGGCAGACTTGGAAGACGGGGCCCTTGATGATGCTACACTGCTTCTCGGCCCAGGCCAGGCGGTGGGGGTTCTTGGTGCAGGGCTCGGGGATGGTGGTCACGTCCGGGCAGGTGGAGGCCTCCTTCCAGCTGTTCCCGAAGTCCAGCTCGCTCTCCACCACCATGTGGCCCCGCGTGGTGAAGTCGTTGCTGGAGCGCTGGTCGAAGTTCCCGCACAGGCCGCACACGGTGCCCTGCAGAGAGGGGCGAGCAAACGCTTCCGGAGGAGCTCACGGGAGCGGCCTGGGGGGGCCACGCGGGCAGGGGCGGCCACGTACCTTGTAGGAGGGGGCCAGCTTGATGAAGATGGTGGTCCTCTTGTCCCAGATGACGATGACGCCGGTGCTGGCCTCCACCACCAGGTACTGGCCCACCTCCCGCGTGGTGTAGGCCACGTAGGGGCCCTCGTCACGGTCGATGACCGTGTGCTGCTTGTCCTCCAGCTTCAGCTCCGTCCTCTGTGTCAGGGAGACCCGGTTACTGGGCGTGTCCATGGAGACCCCGCACGTCCCCAGGTGGGCAGCACTCACCCCCAGGAAGATCTTGATGGCCTTGGAGCAGGTGACGCCCGTCGTGCCGCAGGGGACGTTCTCGGTGATGATGCTGAAGGAGCCCTGTGAGGAGTTCTGGCCGCAGTAGTCCTGGGGGCCCGCAGGGGATGTGAGCCGAGCCACCAGGGCACAAGTGCTCTGGGCACGCCACCCCGCCAGCCTCAGCCCCTCCTCTGTTGAGAGGGGGCCACCAAGTTGCAGGAGGGCCCGGACCACGCCCACACGCCCCCTGCTCCTCGTTTGCCACACACCGAGCCAGCATCACAGTATGGGCGGGAGAGGCAGGGCCAGCCGCTCCCACCCAGGGCCTTCGTGCAGCTCTCGTGACCGTCCTCGGGGCCCGTGGAGCGTGGACGGGGCACGGGGCGGGTCCAGGAGCTGCCCTCGGACTCACCTGAGTGGCCACATAGGAGCAGTGCCCGTCGAAGTCGTAGAGCTTCCCGTCAAAGGTGATGTAGTGGCCGCTCCCGTAGACAGTGCAGGTGCCATGGCACCTGGTCTGGGTGCAGGCCCAGCGTCCTCTCTGGCAGGTGCTGAGGAGGGCAGCAGAGGGGCCTCAAACTGCCACAGAGCCCGGTCCCCTCGCCCCCGCTCCGGGGCGGCCTGCCCGAGCCCTCACCAACCCAAAGTGCCATCCGGCACCCCCATCGGGGCCAGGGTTCTGCCAGCCAGGTGCGGGGCCACGGGACCCTGTAGGCCCCTGCCCGGCCCTTCTCCAGGACACGGGGCCCACAGCGTGCTGGGGCGGGGCAGCTGGGCCAGGCCGCTCACCAGGTGTTGCAGTCCACGGGGATCCTACTCCCGGGGCTGTACAGGTCCTGGTTGTGCACACAGGGGCACTCCTCCTCCTTGACGCAGCCCCCACGGCCGTCGTCCAGCAGCCCCTCGGGGCACACGCAGCCGCTGACGCACTCCGTCTGGTACTGGGGCAGCCAGACGGTGGGGGTCGGGGACTCAGTGCCAGGCCAGCCCTGTGCTGCCGCTCAGCTGGCACTGCGGACACCGCACCCTGCGTCTGACCTCCCTCCCTGGGCCCACGCCTGGGTGGGGAGACGAGCGAGAGCTGCCCTCCAGGGACTCCCTCCAGGGATGGGGGGCCAAACGAGGACTTTGCGTCCACAGGACTGGCTCCCGGGCCTCAGGGCCGGCGCGGTGCCGCCCCCGCCCCCTCCACAGGGCCCGCACTCACAGAGCCGGCAGCCAGGGTCTGGCAGCTGACGGGCCTGGGACTCCGGACGGCCAGCGCAGTCAGGTTGTTACAGTCGACGTGAATCTTTGGGTCCGCACAGCCTGTGGGACGGAGGGGCCGCCTTGGCTCAGCTGAAACCCGGGTGGGAGCGCAGGCCGAGGGGAGAGGGCCACACACGGGGCAGTGTCCACTTACGTTGGCCCAGCAGCCTGACCCGTGTGCAGTGCAGCCTGGCATTCCGGCAGACGCTGCGGTGGGGGGGGGGGACTGAGTGAGCCCTCTGTGGGCTGGGCGGGGCCACGGGATCCCCAAGGAGGGTGTCCCGCCCTCTGCAGCCCCAGACACCCACCATTGCTCCTCCTGCCTCATGACCACTTTGCCCGCCTGCAGGTAGAGGCCCTGGTGGTAGCAGGGGCACTTGGCCAGGGGCACACAGTAGCCCTTCTCATCCAGAAAGGTGTGGTCGGGGCAGCCACAGCCGTCCACGGGGGCAAAGCCCTGGAGGCAGTGGGTGTCAGCCTCGGAGAGTGAGCGGCAGGTCTGCTGGCAGGTGGTCAGGTTGTACAGGAAGGTCTGCGACGTGGGGCAGGCGCTCACGTCCTTGTCTGCAGAGCGAGGGGCCTGGTGAGGGCCGGGGCAGCGCCCGCGCCCACCCCGCTGGCTGTCTCCAGCCCCACCTGGTGCAGAAGCAGGACACCTGCCCAGCCAAGGGCTGATGAGGGCCACCCGGGCACCCCCGCCCCCACGCCTGCCTGCTGGGCAGACTGGCTGTGGCCTCAGCTCCGGGCCCTGTCGCTCAGGAGGAGCGGCCCCCGGGGGGTGTGGGGGGGGGCGAGGGCCAACTCCCACGGGACACCAGACCCCCGAGCCCCAGGGCACCGGCAGCGGGGACACTCACCGCAGACGCCGGCCCGCCAGCCCCACAGCAGCACGCCCTGGGCGGCGCAGGCGCGGGCGTAGGAAGACAGGGCGGCGCACAGGCAGTCCTCGCTGTTCTCACAGTTGCAGGTGTCGTATCTGCACCTCTGGGGGGCAAGGGGGGCTGTGAGCCCGCACGCAGGAGTGCACGCACACACACGCCCATGCACTCACGCATGCTACATGTGTCACGCTTGTGTGCGCTCACATGCGTGTGCACATGTGTTGGACACAGGTGTGTGCTGTGCGCGTGCGTGCACTCTCGGCAACTCCCAGCGGGGGCCTCAGGCTCTGCCAGGCGCACACCCACCTGGGCTGGGCCGGGGGCAGGGGGTGCACACGGGGGTCCCACCAACCTTGTAATACTCGGCTGGGTCAACGGCAGAGTGGCACCTGCCGAAGGGCGTCTCCTCGTTCTTCAGGAGGGAGCACCAGTGGTCGGCATAGTTGGCTGGGAAGGGGTCAGAAGCTCAGCGGGGGCGGACCCTCCAGCAGGGCCCCTGCATCTGGCATGACCACCGTCCCCGCCGGGGACCAGACGCAGCCCCTCGTTCTAGGTCAGTCCCACCCAGCCAAGCCGGGGGTGCCCACCTCCCACCCTTCCAGACACGGCAGGGTAACCTGGAGGGCGGAGGGTGCGCTATCGCAGTGCCAGGCCTGCTCCCGGATGAAGGCCACCACCCAGCAATTAGTAGCCCAGCCCCTGTGCCCTGTCACTTGGCTGCCACTGTGGCCACATGGCGGAAGGCAGCAGCTGGATGAGCTGGCCCTGAGCAGGGCGGGCCCCCCCACACCCACACACCACCCACCGGGCGCCCCAGCTGTCCTGGGCGGGGCCGGGCCTCACCGCTCTCGATGTTGAGGGAGCAAGGGTCGTCCAGCCAGTCCAGTTTGTCTTGGCAGCTGGACTTGGCCTTCCAGCTGTTGGCGAAGCTGGCCCCTGTGGCCTCCACCAGCCCGCCCGCCGTCTGGAAGTCGTCGCCTTCCTGGCCGTTGAAATTCCCGCAGAGACCTGAGGGGCCAGGACAGGGTTGGAGGGAGCAGAGCGCAGGGGGCAAGCCTGAGAGCGGCCTCTGTGGGGAACCCTGGGGGCCGCTCACCCTGCACGTGGCCCTGGGCGGCCTGGTCCAGCGTCAGGAACAGCTGCATCACGGGCTCCAGCTGCACCTGCAGCCTGAGGCCGGAGGCCGTGCTCACCACCAGGTGGTAGGAGGATGGTTGGAAGATGGAGAAGCTCGCTGCAGGGCAGGGGCGCGAGGGCGTGAGGGGCGCCGGGCCCGCCCGCCACGGCCTGCCACCCGGGGCTCCCGGGGCGGGGCTCACCTGTCACATGGGGCAGGGTCACCTGTAGCTCGTTCAGCAGGACGCTGCCGTCTGACTTGAAGGCCACCACCTGTGGGAAAGACCAAGGGGACCCCAGAGATGAGAGGGGCCTCCGGGATCCGGGGGAAGGGCACAGAGGGGAGGGGCACCCACGTTCTTCTTTTTGTCGGTCAGCAGCACCACCGTCTTGAGGCAGGTCTGCTTGTCCGTGGAGCCGCAGGGGCCCAGCTCGCCCAGGAGGGCAAAGGCGTCTTCCTGGTCGGCCTGTGGGGGGGGGGGGGGGGGCGGGCTGCAGTGAGGGCGCAGGCAGGACCCCAGCCCCGCCCACATGCTCCCCGGGCGGCGGCCCACCTTGGTCAGCAGGTAGTAGCAGTCCCCGTGGAAGGTGTACTTCTTCCCGTCGAAGGTGGTGATGTGGGAGCCGCCCTCCAGGGCGCAGGTCCCGGGACACGGCAGGTCTTTGCACACCCAGCGGCCGGCATGGCAGACGCTGAGGGGCGGTGGGCACAGGGTCGGATGCAAGGGCGGGGGCGGGGGCAGGGGGCAGGGGCAGGGCCTCCCCAGCCCCAGACTCACCACTGCTCACAGCTGCTGTTGACCTGCTGGCCCGGGGCGTACGAGCGTCCGTGCAGCCTGCAGTGGCACTGGCTCACAGAGATGCAGCCTTGGTCCCCGATGTCATCGTACACGGTGCCTGGGACAGCGGAGGGTGGCGTCACGCTCAGCCGGGGTCTCCACCCACCAGGCCTCCCACCCGTAGGCATCCCAGGTCTACTGAGTGACCCCGAGGTCCCCACACAGCGTCTGGTCAGGGACCTTCTGTACCCGAGAGCCTGGCCTCTTCTGGGAAACTTCCAGATCCCTGTGCTAGGCAGAGGGTCTGCCCACAGGGCGACAGCCAGGGAGGGGTCCCCCCACCTGGGACCCCTAGGAGCCACCACTGTGCCTGTCCGGGAGGGGCCTTGGCGTCCCTCCTACGGGGACCCCGTCCCCTGATTCCAGGGCAGCACACACCTTCGGGGCAGAAGCAGCCATCCATGCGGTGCTCCTCACACAGGTTGCTGACCTCCAGGTGCGAGCAGCTGTCCATGCAGGGTGAGCCGCTCTCCAGGTAAACCATGTTCCCGGGGCAGGTCTTGGCTGGAAGGGCAGAGGCAGGCCCCTGAGCGGGCATGGCCGGGAGGCGGAGTGCGGCGGGCAGGGTGGAGGGGCTGCCCGCGAAGGGCCCTGGGCTCCGGCCCTGCCTTGGGCCGGACCCCTGAGGCCGAGACTGCCACCCAGACACCGGGCCACCCTCCCCACGTGTGGTGTCCCCATCGTCCCGACCCGCTCCCCAGGCACTTACGGCAGAGCGAGGCCGTCCTCCAGTTCCCCGGGCGCCCGCCGGCGTGGGAACACTGGCGGGAGAACTCGGCGATGGTGCTGCACAGGCAGGAGGCGTTGGCGGCGCACCGGCAGCGGTCCTGGGCGCAGGCCTCCACGTAGGGCTCCAGCGGCAGCAGGCCCAGGCAGTCCTCGAAGGCCGCGGCCGTCAGCAGCCTCCGGCACTCGGCGTGCTGGTGGGCAGACGCAGCGGTGGGTGGGGGGGCTGCCGGCGCCCTCCTTCCGTCCATGCTGCACCCGGCCCCGAAAGAGGTCGGTGGGGAAGACAAGTGGCGCCACACGCCCGGGCCCCCCACGCCTCCTGCCCTGGATGGGGGTTCGGGGCAACTTACGTGCTGAGAGCAGGACTCGAGGGCAGACTCCTCCGCAGGGTCCTCGCAGGTGACCTCGGGCTTGTTGATCTTCTGCATGTTCCCGAACTCGATGGCGCTGAAGAGCACACCTGGGGGGCACGGCCGGTCAAGGGGACCGGCCCCGCCCGCCCCGGCCCCGCCCGCCGACCCCAGCGGCCCTCACCGTCAGAGAGGAACTCGGAGTAGGACTGCAGACCGTTGTAGTCGCCGCAGAGCCCGCAGGTGTGGTTCCGGAACTTGCCGTCCAGCTCCAGCTGTCGGGGGAGGGGCCCGGCGAGGGTGAGCTGCCGGGGCAGCGTCACCTCCTTGTTTGAGAGGGCGTCAGCTTCCGCCAGGGTCCCCACCCCCAGGGCCCCCCCTCCCCCGCCCATCACTAACCCGGCAGCCTCTCCACCACGGGGCACGCGCTGCCAGCCCAACCTGGACCGTGCCGTGCCCCCAGGGTCCCGGCACCCACCATGACTGAGTCCTCTCGGTTCCACAAGAGGGTCAGGCCAGTGCGGGAGAAGACCTTTGTGTAGGCGTCATTCTTCTCAATGAGCAGCCCAGAGGTGTAGTGAGGGGTGCTGACCCTGGGGGCCACGCAGGGAGTCAGGAGCTGGCCCACACGGCCACCACCTGGTCCTCCCCCGTCCTGCTGCCTGGTGGGACTGAGGCTGTGTGGCCAGCTCTTGCCCTGGGGCCACACTTGGCTGTGGCCTCCTTCGGGTGGAGCCAAGCCCCGTCCTGTGTGGGCAGGGGACCCCTGGGGCCCCAGGAGGAAGGAGGGCAGGCTCTGCCCCGGGGCAGCCTCCGTAGCCCCTGCCCAGCCTACACACGCACTGTGCTCCCCCAAACTCTGGGCCTCTGGGGGACCTGTCCCTACTCCCGCTCTGAGCCGGCCTGGCCACCTGGGCTGCAGCCAGGCCCCGAGGTGAGCAGCCCACCGTTCTGCAGACTACATGGCTCAGCGTCGGGGCCGTGGGCAGGGGGCCCCCACAGGCCCCTCCCTGCTTGTGTGACTCTACACGGGGTCACAGGCCCCCAGGGCTAGGAGGCCGGCACTGTCCCACCACCGCCCGGAGCCTGGTGGGCCCTGAGTAGGGGGGCCGAGGGAGACCTGCCCCCCTCCCACCATGGGGGCCCCGATGGGGGCTCATCTGTGTTTGCCGAGGGGGTCTGCCTGACCACAGATGGACGGCCTCCTCCTGAGAGCGGGGGGCTCCCAGCGGCCGAGGGAGGGGCCGCCACCCGACCCCACTCACATGGCCCCGTTCACCACGACCAGCTGTTGGGTGAGGTAGACGGCATCATCCTCGATGGTCAGCAGGATGTAGTCCACCTGGGGGTGGCCGCCACCGCTGCCGGGGCTGCGCCGCAGGTGCACGGCGAACTCCTTGTAGGCGTCCTGGCAGTCGGAGGCCAGGTTGTAGTCACAGAGGCCGGGGAAGCGGAAGACGTCGCCGTCGAAGGTCTTGTAGTGGAAGTCGCCCCAGGTGCTGCAGACGCTGTGGCTGTGGCTCCGGGCTCTGCCCTCTGGGGGCCGAGGGGACAGTGGTGAGCGGACCAGGCGGCACCCGGCTGGCGGCCACCCTCCAAGGACCCTCCACAGAGCCCTGAGGTCGAGGTGCAGGGCACAGGGCGGGGCAGGAGGGACACAGATGTCCCACCCTAGGGGCCCAGTCTCCTCTGACTGACGAGACCCCTTCTGCAGGTGGCCAAACCCAGACCTTGCCCCTCTAAGTGTCCATGACACCCAGGGCTGAGGCTGCTGGCTGGCCCCTCGGCCACCCCCTGCCTCCCTGACACTCACTGACACAGCTCAGCTGTCTCCACCTGGTGCGACCTTGACACCCACTCTGGCCAGGCGACCACCTTCAAAGGGATGTTCGGAACCCAGTGCCACCTGTTTGACCCTCCTCCCATCTGTCCTTCCTTCCACCCAAAGTCAGCAGGGCTGGGGGCTGCAGAACGCCCCCCCAAACCAGCCATCCCCAAGTCCAGGCAGCAGGGAACCACCTTCCGTCCCAGGCAGGACGTCTGCCTTCCTGCCCCCCCAGGACACAGCCTCACACCTTTCCGCAGCTCCGCGCCCCTGGCCGAGGTCAGGGCCAGGCACAGGGCCATCAAGCAGCCCAGTGGCAGCCCCATGGTGGCAGGGCAGGTCGGCGCAGAAGAGCGACCAGGGCAGGGGTCTGGGCCTTATATGGCCCAGCAGGGCTGCCCTCGGGTGGGGCGGGTGGGGGAGGGGCGAGCGCCAGAGGTGGGTGGAGCGTCAGCCAAATTTTCTGGAAAACAGCTGCGGGGGCTCCTGGGAGCCACCGTGGGGAAATATTGATTCAGGTTATCAGAGGGCTATCTTCTCACTTATTTATCTTCCTGGGTGAAGCTCCCCCCTCCCAGTTACCCCGTCCGGACACACGCCCAGCAGACCTCCGTCCCTCCCAGAGACGCTGGGGCCTGCGGGCATGAGGCCTGGGCACACACCTGTCCTGCAGGCTCCTCGCAGCCCCACCTGCCCCACGCGGGGGCAGAGCCCGGGGCACCCCCGGAAGACCCTGCCTGCGTGCACACCGGTGGGAGGGCTGAACCCGGCCCCTCCGGACAGCGAGCGTGGGGGCTCGCGTGGAGGTGCTGCCCGCAGATGGGGGCGTTGCTCTGGGCCAGCCCCGCGCCTGTCCACCCTCCAACCGCCACCTCGCCCGGGCCAATCTCATCTCCACAGTCACATGGAATTGGCACTCGGGGAGCCCTGCCAGGGGACCGGGCAAGAAGGGTGTTCTCTGGGCCCAGCAGAGGCCCTGCCCCAGCACAGGCCCTGCCCCGGCCCCCCTGGCCTGGAGGACAGAGGCTGTGCTGGTCCCTGGGACACGCCCCTCGGCCCAAAGAGAGGTGCTGCGGCCTCTGAGGAGCCTCAGACCTTCCACGCCTGCCCGGAGCTCCTGTGGGAACGTGTCGAGGACTGTGAGGTGCTGCTCCAGTCTGCCCCAGACCTCACCCTGGGGGGGCACCAGTCAGAGCCCTGCCCCCCATCCGCCCTACACCCTGCTTCCCTCCTCCTGGGGCAGATGCGGACCCTGAGTTTGGCTCCAGCCGGGCCGGGGGGGGTGTAGACAGCCTGCCGGGGCCACGGGGGCACCGTGAGCTCCCGGGGTCACTGGGCGGGACCCATCCCCGCAGTTACTGGGGCCCTGGGTGAGGGCTGCCCGGGGGGCCTGGGATGAAGCCCCTTAGCCCATCCCACTGTGCCCCCAGCCCCAGGGCCAGGGACAGTCTTCACTGCACAGGGACGGGACCTGGGGCCTGGGCACACGGGGACTCGGAGGGTGGCAGGAGCCAGGACTAGAAACAAGAACCAGGGGCCCTTCCTGTGGGGCCTGCCAGGCAGCCCCGAGCGCAGGGGGCCCGTCCTCAGCCCAGAACCGTGATGTTCCAGGCCAGGCTTCCCCTGGGGACACAGGACACACAGCACAGTCCCCCTTCCCTGAGACCAGCGGGAACCCCCTGAGATGGAGGCAGCAGGGTCTCCGGATCCGAGGTCAGTCTGTGTTCCCTCCGGGTGGGGCAGCGGTGGCGACCTGAGGCCCAGGGGTCTCAGGTGGGGACCCAGGACACACAGGCAGCAGGCCAGGCCGTCAGCAGGGGCACGACAGCGGGGCAGAGCCCACAAAGACAGACACGGGGCTGAGGGCTCCACCAGACCAGGCGCCAAGGCCCGCCCCGCCCCCACAGAGTCTGGGACCCCTTCCCAACCACGGCCACACTCTCAGATCCCTGGTCACTCCCCAGGGCCGCCGGGCTTCGCTGGGCCTCCCAGAGCGGCGGCCCAGGTGACCCTCACGGGTGAGGCCAGGGTGGGGCAGGCTGGACACACTGGATGGAAGTAAACCAGGAAGTGTCCTGAGACAGCCTGGACCCTCGGGGCCCTCCAGCAGGGACCCGTCCCTGTTAACACGGGGACAGCTGTGCGTGCTGCCTCCACTCCTTTCAGCCAGGACCCACCAAGCTGGGACCCGCCTGTCCCGGGCGCAGGGAAGGCGGTCAAGGACACCGCCGGTGTGGCCACTCTCTGGACAGGCAGCGATGCCCGAGGGACCCCAGGACACCTGCCCGGCCACAGCTGGACCTGCGGGGCTGCCCCGGCCCAGAGCCCCGCACCCACCAGAGCCTCCCCGCCCAGCCCCACGCCCAGCAGTGTTTGCCCCGACCGGACACCGCTTCCGAGGGTGGTGGGGCTTTACAGCTCCGCCCACAGGGAGGAGGCCACAGAGACGTCACAGAACGAGACCTAAAATGACGGTTCCGTGGCTCTGTCCACAAACCCTGACTCATCAGGAAGTGGGGTGTGGGGGAGAGGAGGGGCAGGAAGGAAGGAAGTTTGGGGAGCGGGGGAGGGGCACCGCCTCACCTGTCTCCTCCAGCAGACGGGTCATGGCACCTGTCGCCATGGCCATGGTGCCCCGCGTTCGGTCCCACACCAGCCTGGGTGTTGCTCTGAAGGTGTTTTTCAGGGGTGAGCCGATGACCCCCCATCGATGACATGGGGGGCCTCCCCCAACCAGTGGAAGGCCTTACAGAGAGGCTGAGGCCCCAAGGAGGGAAGAGTTCAAGGATCCCACCCCCAACAGTCTTCAAACTCAGACCACAGCACGGACCCTCCCTAGAGACCCTCCTTAAATTTCTCTCCCTCTGTCTCCCTGTGTCCCCCCATCTCTCTATACATACACGTCTATATACCCACACATACATATATATACCCCATCTATGTATCTACGTATACGTGTACATATATGCACATACATATACACATATGCATACACACAGATATCCCCAGCTCTGGCATGGCCTCGGTGGGCACACGAAGAGGGAACCCAGAGAAACTGGGGGTTCCCAACCCCTCTGGACACCCAAGGGAGGCCCAGCCACGGGACCGAGCAAACACCAGCACACCCAGCCCTCCCCGGGGCAGACCTGCCGAGCTCGCCCATCCTGCACCCTCCAAGGTTCTCAAAGACCTGGGGTGCGCAGGCCCGGCCCCCCATCACCTCCCCGGGGCCTGCAAGGCCTTTGCAGGTAGGACGTTGAGCCCCTCACCGCTGCGAAGGGCGCCCAGGGGTGTCTGTCTCAGGCAGCAGGGGCGCAGCCGGGGTGCAGGCCGGCCATCGTGAGCCGGGCTCCTCGCCGCGGTTCAGACCAGCCCCCTCCCGGCAGTCACCTCACCTCAAGACCAGGCCCAAGTGTCACGCCCTTGCCCCGGCCGTTGTCCTCACCGCCCTGCCCCTTGCTGCTGTGAGCACCACAAGGGCAGCAGCTGGTGTGGGTTCTCTGTGGGCCCACTTCACAGGAGCGGCGACAGGATGGTGGGTGGGCAGGTGGGCGGATTCGATGGTGGTGAGCAGGTGGGTGGGCGGGCGTACAAACAGGTGATCTCTCAGGCGGGGGGTGCGCACGATGAGCTCCCTGTGGACCTCACGAGAGCGTCCCGTGCGCGGTAACTGACTGGGAGCTCGGTCCCCCCCCCACATCACAACCCTCCGCGGCCCGGGGAGGCCGGTGCTGACATTACTCCGTCCTCTGGGAGGTGAGGGGTCAAGGGTGAGAGGGTGCAGGACCACCCTGAGCTCGCCCACCCAGAAGTCGCCAAGCGGACAGCAGGGCCGGGAGCCCTCCAGCCCCACGGTGCGAGCTGTCCCCGCTCGCCAGTGGCATGACTGTTTTTCGGAGGGTTGACCGCTGCTCTTGGGAGAAGCCCAGTGTGAGTGACAGGACACCAGAGGCCCCTGGGCGGTGCCCACGGAACGGAGCCCTGCACCTGCCACGGGGCAGAGCAGGCGTTGCCCACACTGATACAGGGCGCGGCCCTCTCACATTTCCACTTCCATCCGGGGGGCAACCCCCGGCTCCCTTTGTTTCCAGTACAGTGAGGTCCACTCGGAGTCACCAAGCTCGATGGGCTTTGACAAACGCAGCGTCCACCCCTGTGGCGACCGCCCGGATCGGCCGCCCCGCCCCACACAACCCTCCCCGGAAACCTTCCCAACCCCCAATCCCTTGTACCTCCGCCGCAGGTGGGCTCAGATACTTTATGATGAATTTTAAATCTGTAAACTTTAAAACTGCTGAAATGACACATTACACATTCTGGCTCTGACTTCACATGGCAGCAAGTGAAACGCGACTTACCGGTCTGAAAAACGCAGGACAAGGTTTTTTCTAAAAGCATCGATTCTAGATCATTTAAAACAGCTTCACAAAGGTGTGATAACCTACCACCCCCCGTGTGTGAGTGTGGGTTCGCTCAGTGCCGACGCAGACACACACCCGGCACAGGCCGCACCCAGGACGACGGGGGACCCTGTGCAGCCTCCTCTTGCCCCCCCACGAGGTCACACTGACCGATGGTCTGTCCCTAGACGGAAATGGGAGCTTTTTGGGAGATCCATTCTCATAGTTGCGAGTCTCCATATTTCAGCTGCGCTGTCACACGATCGGTACTCCAGCTGCACTGAGGCACCCCCTTCTCATCACGGAGCAGCTCCGCCTTCCGTGGGACTGAAACAGTGCGCCCTCCCGACCACCAGCGGGAACGTCCGGTGGGCCGCCCGGTGGTGCCCAGTTTGAGGTCCCCACGGACGAAGCCGCGTGGACAGGGGATGGGTCTGCATGGGACCACTTACCTGGGAGCGGAGTGTCTCGGTGCCACGGCAGAGGTACCCTCACCTTTTCAGAAGCGGGGGGCCACCCAGAACGCTGTGAGTGTGGCGGGCACGACGTTCCCGCCCGCCGCGGGCGACTCCCCACCCCACAGCCTGGTCAGCACTCGGCAGGGCCGGTCCCTTCGCCCTGACCGTTCTGACAGGTACACGGGGCTCCGCGTTACGGCTCAGGCTGCCGGGCCCGTCGAATGACACTGCCAGGCCTCTGTCCCTGTGCTTCCCTGACACCCACAGGCCCTCGCTGGCGAAGCATCGCTCGAGTCTCATCCCACTGTTACTGGGCCACTTGGGTGGGTGTGTTGACAGAGCCCGGGAAGGTGTTTGTGATTTCTGGGCGTGAGCCCCTCCCCAAGCCCCTGTCTCCTCCTCCGCGGCGTGTCTCCTCGCTCTCAACGTGCCTTTGGCAGAGCTGACCTTGTCCGTGTCCACGAGGTC